GGAGTTTCTTGGGCATGTCTCTCAAACGCTATTTCTGGGCGACAGCAACCCCCAAACACAATTATCGGCAATGGACATCACTGGCTTTATCTGCTATTGACATTGACATCTTCAATACATATTTTAACAAGCATTGAATAAACTAAGAGAACAATCTGCTGTCTACATGCGGTCTAGGTTTAAATGACAGGGAAAGCAGAACCGAGATCAGTGACAGATAGTTCTGAATCTTGGCTAAAAAGTGGATTTTCTAAATGACTTCATGTATGTGATCATTCTCAAGTTAAACTCTCATTCCCATGGGTCAGATGGGACTCTCCCAAGAGGTTACCTCTCTCTCTGAACTTTCTATGTTTTTGCAATAATTTTAATAACATTGTATCAATTTTAAAGAAAATAGCAGCCACAAAATTCGTATGTATTGACCTAGAAAATATTCTTTGCTCTCAGCTGTATGAGAACAGATTGTTTCCAAGCACATTTAATTTCTTTTTAATTTGCTATAGAACATGTGTTCTCACTATAGAGAGACAAAGAGAGAGAGAGAGAGAGAGAGAAAGTGGACTCTTCCCCCTACCCCAGGAGAAATGGCCATGCCACTATCCCTTCTCCATTCTCCTCTCGGGATCCAAGTTTATTTCAATTTTATTCAATACCGTGAGATGTTTTGGAGACCCTGTCTCTGAAACTCTCCCTATTATTTCTTTTAACTAGGAGTCTGGTATCCTGGGAATCTTGTTGGCCTTCTACAAGAAACTTTGTCTTTAAAATAAAAACCATTTATTTTATTCTTGCCTGTAACAGAACAGGAGCTTCAAAGAGAACAGAGTCAATGTGTGACATTTATCTTTATAGCAAACGCACACAATCTTCCCTCATCGTGTCCCCTTTCGGAGGAGCAGTGTAGCATGTGCTGGGGGCACAGGGTCACATGAAAGAAACCTCCTCCTCCAGTGTCACGTCTCTCTCGTGGGGCGGAAAGGCTATCGAATGGTGGACTCTTTAAGGAATTAAATACACCATGACCTGGCAACAACTGAATTCTGCTCAAAAAAGAAGGCCAGACCTAAAAGGCATAGTTTTTTTTTTTTTTTTCCTTGAGGGTTTGGACTTCCCTTGACCTAAAGAGGGACAAAGAAATGCTGGTGTCTAAATTACTCAAGCCAGGATCTCAGCTTTTCTAACACATATCCCTTTGTAACTCTAGAATCAACTGTATATACCCTTTTTGCAACATTTCAAGAATGAGTTTTCAAAAAATGCAAACCCTTCTTGAAGTCAGAATAGTGTGAAGTTTATCTGTGTGGCTTTTGTGTGTGTGTGTGTGTGCTAATTATCTGTTTAAGTCATTAGGCAATAGAAACTCTCCCTGCTGTGAGAAGCTGGTCTATCTATTTTGAACTAAACTAAAATTGCATACTAAGGTAATGGGGAAAATTAAGAATGAAAAATGCTTAGAAATGTAGCTGAAGACCAGCAGGTAGAGTGGTGATTAAGGTGCTGGACTCCCACAGAGCCAACCATAGTTCAAGTCCTGGACCTGGTGCTACTTGAAAATCACACTGGGAGCATATGCATGCATGCCCAAAACCTCAGGAGAATGGAGGAGATGGGTTGCAGTATGGCCATCGCCCCGGTGAGTGATTTCTCACTTTTCCCTCTCAGTACCTCTCTCTGTCCTTGGGTGAGTGTGCACACCCTACGGCAAACACATTTTTAAAAAGAAAGAAAGAAAAGAAATATGGTTCTCACCACATGGCCATAATGCTTCTTAGGCAGAGCCAAGTGACACTCGAATCCAGCCTCTAAGATCTTTCAAAGCCAACAAGACAAGGGGTCTTCACAAAGTTCATGACAATCCATATTATGGGGAAAACTATGCACGGACTTCAAAAGTTTTTGCACCAAAACAAACTCCAACTTTAATTTCATTTTCTACAACCTCTACGAAGACCCCTCATATAAAATGGGTAAGGGCAAGGAGGAGAGAAGGGAAGAGACACACGAAGCAGCTCCAGCTTCCTTTCCACCCCTTAGATTCCAAAAGCAGGTACCTGAGTAACACCAAATCATCTCTCCATGACATAAAGACAAATCATGAAAAAAAAAAATTAAGATATTCTATGAGCTCCTTCTTAATCCATCATCTACCTAGGCTGCTAGGAAGTGATGACATTCACTTTATTTATTTAGTTTTTAAAGAAACATTTATTTAATAGTATTAATTATTATGATCATTATTTTAATTTGCTACAGGGCACATGTGCTCACCAGAGCGACAGAGAGAAAATGAGAAAGCAAGCTGCCAGGTCTGGGACTCAAACTGCTACCACTCATGTAGGAGTCCAGCACCTTAACCACCATGCCACCTGCTGTTCCCAGTGACATTCACTTTGAGCTTAACCACCATGCCACCTGCTGTTCCCAATAACATACACTTTGACTAAAAGGAGTGCCACATCCCCTTTTATATTTCCCATACAATAATAAACAGAACTTGAATTTAGGATGCATAGAATATTTTTTGAGTAACAATTTCAAGGGCCTTCATATTTTTCTTTGCAATGATCTTGCCTTTTGGATAAGTCTTACAAATTTAATACTTTCTTTTTTAGAGACATTTTTGCTATAGGGTGTGTGCACTCTCTGAAGAGATAGAGAGATACAGGGAGACAAAAAGCAAGAAATCACCCCCGAGGGGGGATGGTCATGCCACAATCCCTTCTCCTCCATTCTCCTCTTAGGGTTTTGGGCACGCATGCATGCACACGTGCCCAGCCTAAGTGTTTAAGTCACCAGGTCCAGGACTTGAACTGCAGTTGACTACATGGGAGTCCAGTGATGTAACCATTCTGCCATCTTCTGGTCCCACAAAATGAATATGTTTTTAAATATAATTTCTTCATCGCTGAAGCTGCTTCACCAAGTCTTAGATTGTGAGGAGAGGCCCGTGGTAAAGGGGAGTGGGGATGGGAGGGTAGGGACAAATCCATGAGAAGAGGGTTAAAAAGTCCAATCTGGAAGTTCCTTTCTCTTCTCTTTCCATGTGAGCATGCTGAACACTCATTGATTAAAATACTAAGCGTTTCAGCAGTAGAATAAATTCAATGGAAAGAACACATCATTTCTGCTGAAAAGCCTATTGAGATGTTGGCATGGGATCATGAGCATCCGAAGAAACGGATCCCTCGGGTGGACAAACTACCACAGAACAAACGAAAGTCTACCGACCACTGGAAGCCCATAACCGCCTTCTCATCTTTATTTGTGAAAAAAATTATATTTCACAACGACTGGTGGTTATACCCAAGACCACTTTAAAATGGCAAAACTACTACAATTTGGCCTCCAGGAGATAAGATTTTTATCACACACTGCTTTTGGAATCTTCAGTTGACTAAAAATGTATTATTAATTTTGTAAAAGCTTTTCCAAGTAACTAATGTCCAGATGGATTTATAGTGTAAATACCATTCACGCATTTCTTTAATAGCTGGGCACAGAGAATATTTATAAAATGGCACTTTGCACGGAATCACATCTCTCTTTCTGCTTGACCCATGAATGAAATTTCTCAACATCAGGAGTGACTCGCTCCGTTGCCAAATGACTCAGCCCTCTCTGTTCTTTACCCTGTCTCCTGACTTGAGCTCTTTCTCTCCTTATGTCGCCAGACGGCAGGTGAGAAGAGATGAAAGTCAGAATTGATGCACATCTCTTCTCTGGATTTTATGGACATTTCAGAAACTCTGCAGTGAATGGTTTGGATCACTCTGAGTCATAAAAGTCTCTGCTATCCATTTGCCTAGCTCTGTTCTGCTGTTTACACACATTTTAAAGTAATTATAATTAGCGCATAGAGCTCACTCAGCAATTTAAGTGGAAATTCTTCATAAATGCATCACATTGATGTTAGCTGTGATCGTTGGGTCAATTATTTGCCATTGCCAAGCATGCTTCTTCGACGTGGTTGCAAAGAATCAAAAGTTGGCTAGACATCCACAGCAGCAGTGTTTACACTGATGAGGAACACACTGCCTACTTCCTGTTCCGGTCTGCCAGGATATCCTTGAGACACATCTGAGACCCCATACATACATCTAACCCCGGGAACCTGTATTTATCACGCACACGATGTTCAAGCCAACCAGGATAAGAAGGGATGTTTCCACTATGAGAACTCAAGTGCCTCGATCTATCCCTCATTTGAATAAGTGTGAATACCTAGCTCCTACATGACAGCGACTTCTCCTTCCAGAGGACTGTCTCCACTAGAACACCTTGATTCACATTTTCCACATGTACATCCCTTCAGAATCTGATTGGACTTGAATAAAAGAAAGCATTTGTAGGAAACGCTTTGATTATGTTTGATCGACACTATCTTTTTGAGGGCTTCTTCTATGACAAGAAATTACAGAAAAATAGGACAACTGCAAAAGGCTTAAATGCCACAAAGAAAGTAATAAAAATGCTAACATAAAAGTATATACTGTGATAAATTAGGCCAGCTAGTTACTGATTACACAAAAGTCCATTTGTGATGCAGGCAGCAGGAGGGTGGGCTCTCCCTTGTCCAGCATTTCAAAAGCAGTGGGTTTTTTTTTTCCCCCACGATGTCATTGATGCCATGCACTCCATGACAAAGATGCTTTGATCTTCCCCCATTAAATATATCTTGCATGGTCCTCGCCTGAACTTGGCAAGAAAAAAAAAAAATCATTTGTATGAAAGGCAGGAAGTACTGTATGTCTCTAAGATTATTCATTACCTGTCAAACGAAGCTATTTGTGAAGTCTTTGTGTACTACATACACGAAAGAGTACTACTGCTTACTTAAAGTATTTGGTTGTGTTCTTGCTTTCTTTTTGTTTTTGTTTTTTTTTTTTTTCTTCCTGCCTCAGATCAGATGGGGAACCCAACGAAAAAAGGCAAGGAATAAGACATCCCAGTTTATAATAGAAAGCCCTATAAGGTGATTGAAAGAAAAGAGTCCATACCTGAATTGGAGGGTTTAGAAACTCTTCCCTTAGGAACCGGGAGTAACAATAATTCCAAGGACTGTGGCGGTGGCGGAGGTGGAGGTGGTGGTGGAGGTGGCGGGGTTACTTTTTCTGGCTTCTTCTCTGAAGGCGGTGGTGGCAGAGGATCCTCAGGCAACAGTGACGATTTCTCAGCCAGGAGGCTCCCGGCAGCCCTTGCAGCTACCTCCTTCAGAAGAGCTGCTGAGGAGGTCATAGAAGCCAGGGAAAGGAAAGAGCTGGCCGGGGGCGGGTGCTCCTGCCCAGGAGTCAAACTTCTCTCACTGACTTTCTTGGACAAAGCCGCCAAGGTCGAACTGGCAGACTGGGAGCTAAAGGGGGAGGAAAAGGACTCAAATCGCATGGTCTCCTCAGTCCTGGTGAGAGATTTGTCCTGCAGAACGGCATTGGCTGCAGCTTTCAGTTTGAGGATGGCTGAATCCGGGGACAAGCTGCAGGTGGTGGTTGAGTTCGGCAACCACTTACCTTGATTCCATATAAAACGGTTACTTGGAGTGTATTGGTCGTTCTGTTCCTGCTTCTCAGCCAACTTCCTGGCCAGAACACTGAGCTGCTGGGCATGGTGGGATGGTGGGGAAAAGGATAGATTTGAGCCAACGTTTACAGGGGACTCCACCCTGCCGTTGGCAGTGGCTGTGGCATCGAGTTTGAGGGACCCGGCCTCCAGCAGCCGCCTCAAGTTGCTGCGCAGGGGCTTGTTGGAACCTGGGGGGTCATCTTCACACAACGAAGACACTCCCGGGGAAAGGTGATCTTGACACTGCAGTGAGTCGCGTAGGACCTCACTGTCCAGAGCCACCAGCTCCAACGTGTGACTGCTGGGAGTGGCACTTCCCAAGGAGGTGTCGGGGGAGGTGGACTGCTCCTGGATCCGGTCCTCCAGAGACAACTTATAGTTCTCCTGGACTTCGCCATAGGACGCTTCCGACGGAGTCTCTGAGGAGTTTCCATACCAGTGTTCTCCTTCACTGAGCTCTCCTTCCGCCTCTTCCTGCCTACTAACATCTGGGGGGAATTAAGAAGATCCAAAGTGAGCAACAGGTAAGTCTCAAGACAGTCAATGGAGCGCATGCCACGCCTTCTCTTCCCTACCACCCGAGAACCAAATGAAAGACTGCAACGGCCTTCACAGCATGCCAAGGGCTGAGTCAGACATTCTTGGCAGAAGCCTGAGAAAGGTGTAAATGCTAACTGGGCAAAGGTCAAAACATACCCATGGGCCTACACCTACCTTAATCTTTCCGATCATTATTCCAAACAAGTCGAAATGGAACAGGAAGGAGAGACATGGATCTGGTACAGAAATAACTGGATGAGAAACGGCCATTTTCAATGAATGGGGAGGATGGAAGGGGACAAGCTGATCCCCCTATGAAAAACCAGCCTGGTAGCTTTAGGATCAGGTCAGCATCAGGGAAGCAGCCAGTGCAACAGTGAGACACCGATGGTGGGAAGCCAATTCCCCATTTTCTAACTCCACGACCTCAGGCAAGTTGCTTAGCTGACTTGAGAATCCACTTCTACTAGTATAAGATACAATCCCTTTTTCCTTTTAAAGAATTATTTAACTTTACCTATTTATTTATTTACTTATTTTAGTTTGACCAGAGAGGGACAGAGCGAGAGAAAAAGAGAAAGAGATAAAGGAAAAGTGAGAAAGCAAGCTGCCAGGTCCAGGACTTGAACTGTGGTCAGCCAGGTGGAAGTCCACCACGCAACCTGCCAGTCAATGTAATCACTTTCTTACAAGTTTAATCAAAAATGTAAATAAGGCCCAGCCATGGTGGTACAGTGGTCACAGCACTGACCGTCACACGGAAGGTCTGGGTTTGGGTCCCGGTCACCCTCTACACACGTAGCACAGGCGTGCGTGTGCATGTGCCCATGATCTCTGCTGGCCGAAGGACGGGACTGTTGAGGATGCTGTCTTCTCTCTCTTTCTCTTTCATTAAGAAAATAAGTAGGGGTGGCCAGCAGATGGCATAACAGTTTCAGTGTTGTATTCCCATATGGCCAACTGCGGTTCAAGTCCCAGACCTGGTGGCTTGAAACTCACGCCGAGTGCGTGTGCGTGCGTGCCCAAAATCCCAGGAGGAGAATGGAAGAGAAGGGATTGTGGCCTGGCCATCCCCCTGGGGGTGATTTCTCACTTTCCCTATCATTGTCTCTCTGTCTCTCTTTCTCTCTCTCTCATACACACATGAGCATACATACCCTAAAGCAAAAACCTCTACAAGAAAAAAGAAAGAAAATAAGTAACCTTTTTTAAAAAAATGCAGCTAACACCTACCTGACTCATTTCACCAGTTGTTCTGAAGCTTAAATAATAAGCATATGGCCATGTTTTGAAAACAGGCAAGAATGATACAAATCAGCTCTCATGAGCAAACAGTATTCATGTTACTCATTTCCTACGGTGACCATCTCCGCCATGTTAAGCATGCTACTTGTTTGAGAGTCCTCCATTCCCATCACCAACATGCTTGCTGTCTTATCTCAGGCAGGGATTAGACATTTGTTCCTCTCGCCACTAGAAGTCAGTTACGATTCTCCCTAGAACACTCAGAATTAATCTCTCCTCATGTATTCATTCAACAAATAATTACAGAGTATCAGCAAATAGTTATCTACTACATGACACCATTGGTCCAGATTGTTCTAGATGGAACAAAACAAAGATCCTGCCTTCTTGGAGCTGACATCCCAGTGGACGAAGGCAGATAATTAAGCAAAATGAATAAGTTAGTCATCAAAATAGTATGGCAGAGGGTTGGTAAATGCATTGGAAAAAGGATGCAGAGCAGGACAAAGTGGACTCGTGGAAGTGGTAAGAGGAGAATTGCGATCTTCAGTAGAGTGTTAAGGGCGGGCTTCCCTGAGGTGGTGACATTTGAGCAAAGACTTGAAAGAAGTGAGGAGCTGTCCTCACAGCTGTCCCAGATAGTCACCATGAAGGCCTGACATGGGAGCATGCCTGGCATGGGCATGCATCAACAAGGAAGCCAGTGTGGGTAGAGCGGAGAAAGCATAGGCAGGGGAGGAGAAGAGGAGGTCCGAGAGATGACATGAGTGAACGGGTACACGGGGATGTGTGCAAATGCAGAAGTGTGTGTGTGGTGGTGGTACAGGAGTGGGCCGTGTAGATCATCAGAACATAGTGAGCTACTGGAAGGTCTTTTGTATCTGGCAAAATTGGGAACCACCGGAGGGTTTGGGGCAGAGTAGTGGCATGAGGGGACTTAGGTCGTCTAGGGACTGTTCTGGCTGCTGTGTGGGGAGCAGACCACAGGTGTAAGGGAGAAGGCAGGGAAACCAGCTAGGAGGCTGGAATCCAGGTGAGGGACGAGGGTGGCACAGTTCAGGTGACTGCAGGTGGTGAAGTTGCCATATTCTGTATATATTTTGAATGCAGAGCCGGCATCCTCCTGGGTTGTTTATATTGATTTCAGATCACTCTAAATTATCTGTCTACTATTGGCTTCCCTTCCAAAACAGGGATCCTTGAGGGCAGGGGTTGCATTTTATTATCCAGCTAACCCACACTGTGCCTGGTACAATGTCTGGTCCCTAGCAGAGTTCAATAGATATTTAAGGACTGGGCCAAAATTCTTCACTGTGCCAAGTTTTTTCATATAACATGATGTTTCTTTTCAGAATAGAAATAGCTGGAACTGGTAATGTATGAACTACAAGCTGATACATTGATCTTCCCATGCTATTTAGAGAAGAAATGTCACAAATGACAAATTCTCTTTCACTAAGCTAAAGTTCTGCGACTCTTTCCTGCGATTCTTTATTAAGTTATCAAGAAAATGTAAAATATCAAATGGAATTTGCCCCAAAAAATGTAAAAAGCAGATCAAATTGAATTCTCTCTGTTAAAAACAGTCTGGTTCTTTGCGATTTGCTACATTGCCTTCTTCCCACTTGATTCCAACATTTTTCATCTTTCCTGAAATCAGTGTTGACCATGAACTCATCTCCCCAGTGGCTTCTCGGAGAGATGCTTTTTTACCAAACATCAAGCAGTCAACATCAATTTCAACAACAGGGCTAATTTTATGTTACTTTAGCAAACCACCTTTCTTAATATCAGATTAAGTATCTCACCTTTCAAGAGATTCCCATGAGAACTATCCTATAAATAGCAAAAGAAATCAAAATTTCAAAAACATCAAAATTCACGATAGTTAGAATTAGTTGACTGTCTTCTTCAAAACTCTTTTTATCTTTATTGACATTCATCAGATGAACGAACAAGACAATATATGATTCCAAATTAAATACTTGTATTTAATGATATTTTTATCATTTTTGAGAAGCACTTGATAGTCAAGATTGATCCCTAACCAACGCCGTAATAGTCAACTAATAAAGTACATAAAACCAGGTATAAATTAATTTTTAAAAATTTAATGCTTGTTTATTTCTTTCTTCCATGAAAGAGAGAGACAGAGAGACAGAGAGAGGGACAATAAAAAAACAAGCACGCTCAATAGCATCTTCAGACGTGATCTACCCCCATCCTCTGCCACCCCAGACCGTATTTTGGATCATGGCTATGCACACACACCTGGTGTGCAAAAGGAGACCTTGGGATGCAAACCTGGAACCTTCCTCCATGGCCTCAACATAATGAATGGAGCACTGTGCTGCCACAGCTGGCCCCAAATCAGAGCTTTGAGAACCACGAAAGTTACAATCCCATATCTAACCTGGAACTGAACTAAGACTATTCAATACCTTAAAGGCAACCAGTTAAATCAAGAACACAGCCATGCAGTGCTAATGCCAGAACCAAACACCCCAGATCTCTAAACCCATGGCCCAGTGTTTTCCTACAAAGCCCCTTACACAATCAGCTCAGGCCCTCTGGAGGGCAACTTCCATGAGCTCTGTCTGAAAAGCTGTCCCCCATACCCCCAAGAACCTCATCTACTCTCCATCCTCAAGAATCAGGAAACAGCAAGGGATTCTGTTAGACCAGGGCAGTACCCTGATCAGGGCAGTATTTATCTTGCCATCATCTTTAAGAGATGAGTACCGGAGCCTCTCTATTCTCTTCTTCCCTCTTCTTTGCTGCAGCGTGGCCAAAAGTAGATTTGAATACCTAAAAGAATGTGGCACACCTAACCGGCAAAGCCCCAAAGGCAAAGCTTAATTTCCTACCCCAGTCCAAACCCATAGTAAGCATTAATAGTCCCCACCACCAAACGTGCTGAAGCAGGTAAGCGCGTTAAGGACTAAAAACGTTGTCAAAGTCAGGCTCTAATCCTATTGAGCAGTGATAAAGAGATCCGAACATTCCTGAATGATATGATAGAACACTGAATGATATAACAGCTAACGTCCGCTTTTAAGTGACTTCCCCAGCCTTGCTGAAATACAAACCCCGAGCATGTAAACAAAGCACTCCCAATAGAAGTTGTTTATGTCCTAACAGCACCTGGGTATTTCTCCACCATCCATCCCTCCAGGCTTTGGAGACAGGATCAGTGAGATACATGCTCCTCTGGACTGCTAGAAAACGCAAATACATCAAGAATATTTTTTAAACTTACGATACTTTATTCATTGCTTTCCCAAAGATGTTGCTACTGAAATTGAGGCTACTGAAGTAATAAACCACCAAATGATTTTAATGCATGGCCTAGAAATAACAAAGACCAGAAACTTGATGGAAACTTATCTGAAATGAGGCTAGTCTTACCGGAGGTCCAGTGAAAGGTGGGGAAAGCTTGCAGAGAAATGAATACAGCATAGGTGGGGATGTGCAGAAGTTAGAGAAAAAACATAAGTGATTCAAGCAAATATGCTTTCAGTTCGCAAAACAGCAAGGATAGTCGTGGACAAATATTATTGCCATTATTTTGTCTGCCGGGCTCCTATCTATTTTTCACATTCACTTTGGTCAAGGAGGTGTCCTGGAAGGTTGCGCTGGTCCAGCTGTGGGGAGTCTTTCTTTTCTTTTCTTTCTTTCTTTCTTTCTTTCTTTCTTTCTTTCT